TTTTACTATTTATGTAACCCTGTCTGAATATTGAATAGCAAGTATATTATTTAATTAATCATACTGAAGCAGTTACTTTTGAAATCATGTAGAAGATGAATTTTCTCTAATTCCTAACAGATGGGAGCTAATTGGACAACTGTTGTTGAAATCAATATTTAAGTGATATGTGTGTATGTTAACCAGTAACCAAATTTTGTATGTGGCATACTTTAGCAAATAATACATTTTATTTTAATAAAATAAGCCTATGTATTTCTTTCGTAAGAGTCACTCAGCTGTGAGCTCTTTGTTTTATAGCTTGGAAAGCATTCTCCCCACCCCTCATACCATTGTAACAATCAGTTTAGTTGTCTTTATCAGTTAATTTTTCCCCCCGGCAATGAGTGTTAGTTATTTGGCATAAGTTAAATGGGAAATACTGCATGGCCTATTGTGATTTATATATTATTTCTTTTTTTAATTAAAGTTTATTGGGGTGACAATTGTTAGTGAAGTTACATAGGTCTCAGGTGTACAATTCTGTAATACATCATCTATATATCACATTGTGCGTTCCCCCACCCAGTCAGTTCTCTTTCCATCAGCATATATTTGATGTTTTTTACCCTCATCTACCATCCCCCTTCCCCCTTACTCCCTGGTAACCACTAAACTGTCTGTGTCTATGAGTTTTTGTTTATTTGTTTGTCTTGTTCTTGTGTTGTTTTCAATTTTGTATATCACATATCAGTGAAATCATACGGTTCTCAACTTTTTCTGTCTGACTTATTTCACATAGCATAATAATCTCAAGTTCCATCCATGCACACAGCAAAAGAAATCCACAAAATAAAGAGGCAACCAATCCAATGGGAGATTTTTGCACACAACACCTCCGATGAGGAGGTAATACCTAAAATATATAATAAACTCATACAACTCAACAACAAAAAAACACAATTAAAAAATTAAAAAATGGGCAGAGGACCTGAACAGACATTTCTCCAAAGAGGACATACAAATGGCCAATAGACATATGAAAACATGCTCAACATCACTAGTCATCAGAGAAATAATCAGCACATAAAAACCACAATGAGATATCACCTCACACCAGTTAGAATGGCTGTCATCAACAAGACAAATAACAAGTATTGGAGAGGCTGTGGAGAAACAGAAACTCTCATACACTGTTGGTGGGAATGCAGATTGGTGCAGCAGCTATGGAAGGCAGTGTGGAAATTCCTCAAAAAGTTAAAAATAGAATTACCATATGACCCAGCAATCCCTCTCCTAGGTATCTACCCAAAAAACCTGAAAACATTTATCCGTAAAGATATATGTGCGCTGATGTTCATTGCAGCTTTATTTACGGTGGCCAAGACATGGAAACAACCAAAGTGTCCATCAGTTGATGATTGGTTAAAGAAGAAGTGGTATTTATAAACAATGGAATACTATTCTGCCATAAGAATAGTTGAAATAGTACCATTTGCAACAACATGGATGGATCTTGAGATTATTATTGTTTTTTTTTTAAACTGAGCCATCCTGCCACCTGTTGGCAGCTCAGCCACTGCTCAGCTTGGACCGGGAATTGAACCGCTGTTGCTCAGAGCTCAAACTCTTGAGCGAGCTCTTAACCAACTGAGCAACTCGGCCGGCCCCTTATATATTATTTCTTTAAAATGTAACGTTTGAAATTTGTCAATATATATGTAAATTGTTGTTAATCTTAGGTGATAGTTTTAACTTGATATACTAGTGCTGAAATACTTCTTTAGATACTGGTTTTCATTCATAAAAGATACTTGTTTTTTCAAATACTTTTAATCTGTTAGGGGGATCTTTTCACGCTTGTGAATATTTTTATTCTTGCCTATTTTTGAGTTCCATGTGTAGTAGTACTTTTAATACTCTGCTGTTCAGGTATAATTAATACTAGTTTTACCATATTAACTCAATGCAGCAGCAGATAAAATATAACTATTCTTATAAGGATGTTGTTTTATCTTCCCACATGAGCAGCACTGTAAAAAGATTAACTTCATGTACCTAAATGGATTACAGTTTCATATTTGTTATATATTAATTAAATGTTTTTTATACATTTTGATAGGCCCTGACTTTGTTGTTTGTGATGAAGGCCATATTCTAAAAAATGAAGCATCTGCCGTTTCAAAAGCTATGAATTCTATACGATCAAGGAGGAGGATTATTTTAACAGGAACACCACTTCAAAATAACCTAATTGAGTGTGAGTTAACATCTACAATTATGCTGTAGAATATTAGCTTTGCCACTTTGCCATTTGCCGTTCTTCTGTTTAGTATACCATGATCTACATACATAGGTCTGTCTTAGTCTACTGTGAAAGAATATCTTACATTTCATGTGGAACGCTTTAGAAATACGAATGGTAAACCGGTTAAGAAGTGTGCCATTGTGAGTGTTCAAATATAAATATAGAATTTAAAATGTATAAAAAATATCAGAAGTATTAATTGATTTCTTTAAAAGAACAAATGGTTTTTTGATTATTCAGAAATACTGTTAGAAAATACCGGGGCTGCCCCCAAAAATGTATACACATGACTTGCATTCATCTTTTGTTATCGGTATATATTGAGTATTACAGTATTAATACAGTTTTTTTCCTTTCTTAAAATGTGTATGCATTTTTTGGCACCCTTTGTATATCCAGTTTGGGGGGAGGTACTGATAGGAAATAGAAAAGAAATGCCAGTATGAACATTTTAGGAAGGTAGAGATGAGAGAAAGAGAGCTGTGTTGAATCCATGTCAGGATAGAGTTTGCTGAGGCAGAAGACTGATGATGAGAATCCTAAGAAGTGACTTGTGAATTTCCCTCATTTTAATGTGTGTGGTGACATTAAGAAGGCAACATGAGTTATTCAGCAAATAACAAATTGAAATTTCCCATTATAATCCATTGTAGTAGCTTTTTGTTGTTTTTATGTTATTTCCATTCATTTAATGTATTTATAATAACTTTACTGTTTTATTTCATTATTTATAATTCTGATTATTATTTCACTTTAGCCTATATTTTATCTTTGTTTTTATCTGTTCCAGTTTCCCCCTATTCTGTTACCCCACTTATGCTATTTCACATTGTGGTCCTATTTGTGTAGGGTAACTGATAACTCCATGAAGGACTTCTGAAACTAAGTCAGTTAATATAAAATTTGTTATAGTAACTTACTACCTGATTTTATTATTTTGATTCAGAATCTATGTTTTTTATTTTTTCCACATGATACCCTTGCTGACCATAAAATCATGGCTAGAACTATAGAATACTTCTTTTACATTTCGTATCTATTGTAAAGAATAGTGAGTTATAATAGAATGTTCTTAGGATTTTTTAAAAACATTCATGTCTAGGATATAGGGGTAGTTATTATTTGAATTCCTCACCTGGTTTAAGTAATCCAGTTCTAGGTCAGACTTATAACCAGTGTTTAGTCTACAGTCAGTTTTGTGTTCTTTTTTTGTAGCTTAATTCTAATGCTTCCATGGCATGCATTTTTGACATGAGCATTTTATCAGAGAATTTTCCTGAGTCCTTTTTGCCATTATTGTTAATGAACTAATATCTTCTCTCTTAGATCATTGCATGGTTAACTTTATCAAGGAAAATTTGCTTGGATCCATTAAGGAGTTCAGGAATCGATTTATAAATCCAATCCAAAATGGTCAGTGTGCAGATTCTACCATGGTAGATGTCAGAGTGATGAAAAAACGTGCTCACATTCTCTATGAGATGTTAGCTGGATGTGTTCAGGTACAGATACATTCCATAGTAATATAGTGTTACTTGATTATATTGCAATCCCAAGAGGTTTTCTAAATTTAAACTTTATTTCATGTTTTCTTTCCCCCCTTTTTAGTATATAGTGTTATAGTTAAATCTCCTTCCATTGTCTTTAAAAGTTTATGCAACATTCACTTTAGAAAAGGTTTCCATTGAGAAATTTATAACATAATTGATTAATTCATTTGCCAAGTATATGGCTTCATATTTTAACATGTTTATGTTTAGATTCCTCATCCTTAAGATAGGGACTATGTAAAAGGCACTCAGGTAAGTATGATTAAGAAATTCCTATGCTCACCCTAAATCTATTGTATTCTAAACCTCGCTTAGTTGAAATGGATGTAGGAAAGGCAATTATGAATTATGAGAGGTGCCATTTTTAATGTAATCCTGATGAAACAGTTTTATTATTATCAAATACATATAAAAATCTGAATGGTCTAGTAGTGTTGTTTACATATGGATCTTCAGTGAGTAGGTAAGTATGTAGAGACTAAGCCAGCAGTTAGTAGATCTCAAGATTCATACTTTTTCTTCCAACACTAATGGTAGCCACAAAGATGTTGTAACAAATGAGATAGGTCATTCTTCTGCCTAGGTATACTGCCATCATATAAGGCAGAGACATTCTGTTTGTTCAGGTTGGCCACAGTTACTAGCAAGTACTCTGGATCTACCACTAGGTAGCTGCCACTACCTAGGTAGCGTTTTTCTGATTTATATAGTCATCTGTATCTTGTACATTAGTGTTCTTTCTTTCCAGTTCCTATAATTAAATGGTTTCAAGAGTGCTTATAGATACATGGCTTGTTTTCTCAGTTGGGCGAAAAGTCCCCCTGGAGTTACATGTTATTTTCTGGCGAGTTATATGTTATCTTCTGGTGTATTGGCACACCTTGCACAAAGGATGACCCAAACTGCATCTGACTTTGATTAGTCTTTATTGAATGATTAAAGCAAGTATTTTTGGTAGCACTGCCTACTACATGACCAACTCCCCTTTCACCCTTTTTTCTTTTTTATATATAGAGGAGATCATTTGAAAACCTATATTGCTCACTTGGTAATATGACCATTTCAACTTAAAACTTATATTATATTGCAGTATCTTTTTACCAGTGCATCATATTGTGTAGTCATATGAAATATGTTAACTATAATCATACAGGAAATCATACTGTGATTAAAGAGGGTAAATATGTTTAATAAAATGTTTTCTTCTATGTTTGGTATCTATTTATTTATGTGTATCTTTTAGTTGCAAACAATGATAATTCTTAGACCAGCTAATTACTGTCATATATTTAGGTTAACTAATTTTCATTCTTTTTTTTGTTAATTACAGAGGAAAGATTATACAGCATTAACAAAGTTCTTGCCTCCAAAACATGAATATGTGTTAGCTGTGAGAATGACTCCTATTCAGTGCAAGCTCTATCAGTACTACTTAGCTCATTTAACAGGTAACAGATACACTTAGTTTATTGTTTTAATCATCTCTCTAAAGACATTCTTTTTCTGTAGAATGCTCTCTTGGTAATTTTACCATGTCAGTTGTTCTTTTTCAATTTTGCATTTGAATAAAATAGATATGCTTATTTTGTAAAAGCACAAAATCTTTTTAATTTGAAAAGCACTAATGTCAAAATAAAATTAAGGAACAAACTGGTGGAAAAACATACACAGCATATATGAATAATGCCTTTAATTTGTAAAGAGATTTTATTTCTGAAAAATTATGAATATGAATCCATAAAAGAAGATACATAAAATTTGTGTATCATTAAAAAAAATTCAACCACAGTAATAATAAAAGGCATGTAAATCAAATCAAATCATTTCTCAGTTATCAAATTGACAAAGGTTGAAGGAAAGCAAAAGGTAAAATACAAGGCAGGACATATATTATGCTCCCAGTGTTAACAATAAAAATATATATGGATGTCTAAAATAACACCAAAATGTTAATATAAATTGTTTCCTGGGTGTTTTCATTGTGATGAACTTTTAGTTTATTTCTTATTCTTTTCTATGGGTTTTTTAAAAATACGGTGAATAGGTATTGTTTTATTGCCAATAAACTTGTGTCTGTGCGTGTTTGTCACTATGTGCCTGAGGTAGTCACTGTTCACAGAACAAAACCTGGTCTCTGTTTGTCCTGGATTGAGATTTCTTACTTGTTGGTTACTTTATTCCGGTACCTTTTTTCCAAGTGATGTGTCAGGTTTATTCAGGTAATATAGATTAGAGGGTGCCCTTCATCCATTGTGGATGCAATAATTGATCAAAAATAATAGAGAGTGGAAGTGTGCACACATATTAAAATGATTATATTATATCAGTAGTTACAGTGATGTGATGCTCTTCGTAACAGCAGTACATTTTAAGTTTTGGGGTTTTTTTAAGCTGAGCCATCCTGCCACCTGTTGGCAGCTCAGCTCGGGTTGGGAATCGAACTGCTGTTGCTCAGAGCTCAAACTCTTGCGTGAGCTCTTAACCTACTGAGCCACTCGGCCAGCCCCAGCAGTACATTTTATAAAGTCGAATAATGATAGTGGTACACAAGAATCATTCTACTTTGTGGCAAATAGGATTTGAATGTTAGTATTCTATAGAAGTGTTTTTTGCTATATTATAGAAATAGAATTTTCTTATTGGCTTTTGGAAGAAAATCACTTCCAATAAGGTACAAATTTTCATTTGTGTATCAGAAGCTGTAAGATTTATTATACCATCCAGTTTTGAATGATAATTGCAGACAGTTAAGTAATCAAATATAGTCATGCTAATGAGAGAGTTACTGTAGTTCAAGAAAAATTGTAATGTTCAGACCTATTTTCATTGATTTCTGAGTAACAAAGGGTACTAAATTTAGTCATTTAACATTTCAAAGTGTTTTAGAGAAAGTGCTTTCAAAAATTAGAAAATCAGTTGTCTTTAATGACCAATAGCAAAATATTAATAGCTCGTGTATAGATGTTAAAATGTACTCTTTTGAAAGCAATGCAATATTTAAGAATTAAGGTGGTCTGAGTCTTTGTGACTTCGATAGGAGTAAATATCTAAAGTACTAATTTCCAAAATTTCAAAACTCTGAAAGGTATAATTGCTAAATTGCAATTTGGTTCCCTAAATATTTCAGTAATGAAAAGGTCTGGGTTTCCATCATATTAAATGTGCCTTTCTTTCCTTAAAGTAGCACACCCTGAGCTAGTAGTCCTTTTTAGAAAACTTCCATAAAAGGCCTAAAGTCTACTGTATCTTGATTCCCACTACAAACCATCATAGTGTTTCTCCCAAAATGTCACCGGCATATTTCACTTGTATTTAAAATGTTTGGTATTTTATCTGTTAGATATTCCAAAAATTCCTTTGTTTCTATTTTTGACTATTCTTAGACACTACTTAGTAGTTTTAAGACGTTCACTTAAATTTTGCTTTTTTTATGCAAGAAAACATTTTACTGTTGTACAATCATGTTCTGGTAGTTTGATTGTTTACAGTCTATTCCAAAATAAAAGGACTCTGAAAGGTTTTCATTGAGGATACATTGCCATAATATGCTGCAAACTGTGCTTCTTTACGATAATTATAATAAAAGGTTCCATTCAGTGCAGCATTTACAGTGTAGGTGCATGACCAATGTGCTGTACACCTGAAGCTGAAGTAGAATAATATTGTATGTCAACTATAAGTACATAGATAGATAGATAGATAGATAGATAGATAGATAGATAGATGCAGATACAGATATATATATAGATACGGTCACAGGAGGTGGAGTATAGCATAAGGAAGATTTTCACCGGTATTGTAACAGCTATGTAAGATGTCAGAGGAGTAGTAGCTTGGGGGAGAGGGGTTATCACTTTGTGAGGAGTGTAAATGTTTATTCTGTTGCTTTGTACACCTGAAACTAATAAATTTTGCTTTTAATACTAGCAATAGTTTGATGTTAATTTTAGTAGTGATCATTTGTAATATATTTAATATTTGCAGAATTAATGTCGTAAGAGACTGGCTTTTAATGAATTTAAAGAAAATTAAAATGATCTTAATTTTCCTTTATTACCTTTTCCAATATAATCCTGCACAGTTCCTTTTACCATCAGGTAGCATAAGTTTATGTTTACATGTAAGCCTCTCCCTTCAGTAACCACTTTAGGTTTCACAAGTGCAGATACTAAATTTTTAATATGTAAACATTCACCTGATTTTAAGCTTAAATCAATACTGAAATCCATACACTATCTTAAGGCATGCAAAAATGGATCACATAAAATGACAGCCTACAGAATGGGAGAAAATGTTTGCAAATCATATATCTGATAAGGGATTAATATTCAGGATATGTAAAGAACTACAACTCAAGCAAGAAAACAACCAAACAACCAATGAAAAAACAGGTAAATGACTTCAGTAAATATTTCTCCAGAGAAGATATACGAATGGCCAATAAGCACATGAAAAGATGCTGTACATCATCACTAGTTATTAGGAAAATGCAAATCAAAGCCATGAGATGCACTTCACAGCTGATAGGATGGCTACTGTAAAAAATAAGAAAAAGAAAAACAACAACTGTTGGTCTGGATGTGGAGAAACAGAACCCTGGTACATTCATTGCTTGTGGGAATGTAAAATGGAGCAGCTGCTGTGGAAAAAGCAGTATGGCAGTTTGTCAAATAGTTAAATGTAGAATTGCCATAGGATCCAGGAATTCCACTTCTAGGTATGTATCCCAACTATTGGAAAGCAGGAACACAAACAGTTACATGCAGACTCATGCTCATATAGCAGTATTATTCATAATAGCCAAAAAGGTAGAAGGAATCCAAGTGTCTGTCAATGGAAGACTGTGGTCTGACACTTAAGTTCGTAAACTTGTTGCAACGATATTGCTAACCTTTTTGGTATCACAGGGATTATTCATTATGAATTTGTACCACCTGGACAAACAGTTAACGACGTTTCCTATTTGGGAGTACTGAAAAGGCTTCGTGAAAAAGTTAGATGACCTGAACTTTTCACCAACAATTCATGGCTCTTACATTATGCCAGTGTACCAGCAGCTCACATGGTACTATCTGTAAGGGAGTTTTTAGCCAATAAACAAATAACTGTATTGGAACACCCTCCGTAATCACCTGACCTGGCCCCCAATGACTTCTTTACCTGGAGATAAAGGAAATATTGAAAAGAAGACATTCTGATGACATTCAGGACATCAAGGGTAATACAATGACAGCTGAGGTGGCCATTCCAGAAAAAGAGTACCAAAATTGCTTTGAAGGGTGAACTAGGTGCTGGCATTGGTGCATAGCTTCCCAAGGGGAGTACTTTAAAGGTGACTATAGTGATAATTCAGCAATGAGGTATGTAACAGTTTTTCTAGGATGAGTTTGTGAACTTAATTGTCCAACCTCGTAGAAGAACAATATGTGATATACATACTATATGGTATGAAATATTCAGTCTCTAAAAGAAAGGAAATTCTGACACATGTTACAACATGAATGAATCCTGAAGACATGCTAGGTGGAATAAGCCAGACAGAAAAGGCCAGATAATGTATGAAACCACTTAGAGGTACCTAGAGTAGTCAGATTCATAGAGGCGGAAGGTAGAATGGTGGTTCCAGGGGCTGGGAGAGGACGGAATGCATAGTTATTTTTAATAGGTACAGTTTCTTTTTCCATTTAGGATAATGAAAAAGTTTTAGAAATGGTGGCAGTTGCACAACATTGTAATTATACCTAATGCCACTGTATTGTAGTCTTATGTTAGGTTGGTGCAAACGTAATCGCAGTTTTTGCATTGTTGAAATTTGCCTTTCATATTGGAATACATTCTTGAATAAATGTGGTTATGTTGTACATCATTTTAATGCGCATTTCTCACTTTATGGTTTTTTGCTAATGATTTACTTCTTGCTGTTTATTTTATATGTATTTTAGACTATGGAAATTATGTTAGACAAAAAGCAAATTCGAGGGATTTTCTTATTTGAGTTCAAAATGGGTCATAAAGCAGCGGAGACAACTCACAACATCAACAACACATTTGGTACAGGAACTGCTAATGAATGTACAGTTCAGTGGTGGTTCAAGAAGTTTTACAAATGAGACAAGAGCATTGAAGATGAGAAGTGCAGTGGCCGGCCATCAGAAGTTGACAACGACCAATTGAGAGCAATCATTGAAGCTCTTACAACTACTCAAGAAGTTGCCGAAGAACTCAACTTTGACCATTCTACTGTCATTCGGCATTTGAAGCAAATTGGAAAGGTGAAAAAGTTAAGTGGGTGCCTCATGAGCTGACCGCAAATCAGAAAAATCATCATTTTGAAGTGTCATCTTTTCTCATTCTACACAACAACGATGAACCATTTTTCAATTGGATTGTGATGTGCAACGGAAAGTGGATTTTATATGACAACTGGCGACGACCAGCTCAGTTGTTG